TTATCTAAAAAGGTTTTTAGTCCATTTTTTATTTAAAGGATTGAAATAACTTGTTCTGTTATTATTTAAATGATTTCTTTTTTAATCCTTTCATTTCCAGTGGAAAAAAACCAAGACAAACTATAACTGGTGAAAGTTATCATTTAAAATACCTAAACGACATCTAACATTATAATTGACGTAGACCTATTCTGTTAGTAGAGAAGTATTGTGTGGTGCACACAATACAAATTTGTGCCTGCGCAGAGCATTTTCTCTCACAAAAAAAAGCAGGAATCCTCTGCACGCTTTGAGGATTTGGACTGTGACCAATAGGTATTAGATGCTTGTAGTGTATTTTATTTCCAGAATGGAACAAAAGAATTCAAATAAATGGAAAAGATCAGAGACAAAGGCAGAGAATACAGCAACTGGCATTCCTTTCCAATTGTTGATACTATAATATTTTGCCAGTGCTTTGTAACAGTATAATTGTTTTTTTTTTTTAAACGGCATGCTAAGGGTACTGTAGATAAACCACAAATGTGCCTCCAGTGTCTATAAAATCCTAAACAGACTGTAGAAGAGTGTCTTTGGGAATGATAATGATTTAGGCTTGTTATCTTAGGGACGTCTGCTATGCAAGAAGCAAATGAAAAGCAAATGGACAAAACAGTCTATTTTAAAAGAATATGTACTATATAGCCACACAAATGCACTGTAATTTCAGTAGAATTAATTTCACTAGACAGAATATTGTGGAGGGTTTATGTGGGAGAAACACCAAGGGCTTTGTTGCCATCTATATTTTATTTTCTTATAGTGCTTTATGAATATAGGGAAATGAAGACAGAAGGAAAGAATCAGGCAAGTTGCTATCTTGCCTCCCCCCCCCCCATGCATACTTTGTGATAACGGAGAGTCATTAGGTTCTAATTACCAATGAAGTGGAAGGTCCTTTTTTGTTGAAAACTCTCTATTTATAGCAACCGTGCAATCTACTGAGGAAGAGAGGTAGATGGGAGAGGCGAGAGATAGCCCACAAATCATTGCCCTTGTTTTATGGCTATTTACAAGAAACCGCATAGAATGATAGCGGTTTGCATTCAGCATCGTTAAAGTGGAAGAAAATGCCTTGTAGGGGTTAACTTCTTATGCCTGCAATGCAGCCTATTTCTGTCAACACTGGACTTGGGAAACAAACATTTATGCTTTGTGAAATGGAAGTGTATTTTTGAAGACTAGCCGTCAGATATTTTTTGCCCTTCACACTTTCAAATGCTTAGCCTTTTTTCTAAGTTGACTGCAAAGAGCATCAGTTTGCCAGACTAAAAGAGAGATGGTGGGGGATTTGGGGTGGGGGGAGGAAGGGGCAGAAAGTAAGCGAGAAAAAGAATGGGTAAAGGGCTGGGTTGTCTTGACAAGTGCCCATGGCATCACCATCAAATATATGAGTTTCAAGTAGAAGATGGCAGGAGGGGTTGGCACAGCACATGCTTCCTTCCAGCCTATGACCTCTGGCTACCTGATTCTTGAGAAGCTTTTCAATCCTTCCAAATGATGTTATTCCAAACTGTCATCTGGTTTACTCGGAGCACACTGTCTCGCAAATAAACATGCTATTTAACTGCAGGTCAAGGTACAGAGCCATTCTGCTAGCAAAATGCCTGAGATACATTAAATGGCACTGACATGAAGAGAAAGATGAAGAGGGATCAAAGTTGTCAGCAGCATGCATGGAATTGGTCTGCACTGGGGGAAAAATGCACCATCGTGTATTGAAATGTATTTTTTTTTCAAAGCCATAATATAGTTGAACATTTAAAATTATGACTTGTCAAATGCTAGGGATTAAGGGACCGGGTGTGACAAAATTCAAAGTTCAGGGCAACACTAGCAAAGCACTATCTTCTAGATTTGGGAAGAGCTCAGGGCTGTGTGGCTGAAAAATTTTAAATGGGAAATGGGAAATGGGTTCATATAAAGTTTGGAGATTTTATATATGATTTTAAAAGATCACTTTTTATGAAAATATGGATGCCTATTTTTCCCCCTATTGTACAATGCTTTATTCCAATGGCTGGTATTTTTTCACAGAGTACAGCATATTTAAATTGGTTTATTCTGCAGTCCCTTTTAACTTTGAGTAACAGTATCTTATGTTACCAAGTTGTTGTGGTTCTTGTTTGCTTTTCTAAACAACCGAAAAATATTTTAAGTTTCATTTTATCAATTAAAACACAGATGTAAAGTTAAACTTTTAACAGTTCTGGTATTTTTAAAAAATCTCCCTTCTATCACCACCACCATCAAGGATAAAGGTTTACATTGAATGCCTAGTAATAAAATACAATTTTACTAAACATACTTAAAGAACATGGCATAAAAATTCCACATTTCCACAATTCTATCTCCTGCATTTTATTTCCTTTTATGAAAAAGGAAGAAACTGCACATGTGTGCACACCTGTGTATTTTCTATTGACATAGACAAAATGTTTCATTCACAATTAGGGGCAACATATTTCCTGCAGGAGGAAAAAGCTGTCCTGGGGAATTGTGTAGAAATATGAAAAACTGAAGAAACGAGAAGCCATTTACACGTTTTTTAAAAGTCTGACCAAATATCCCTTCATAAAGAAATAGAGTTAGCATTGGAGGGTTCTTTTTAAGGTTTTAATGCCTGTTAGCTACTGTAATTGCGAGCAAAGCCCACTGTAATTTAAATTAAAAAATAAAAAGTAAAATGCACAAATTAGCATATAAATAAAAAAGCAGGAAAGTGGAGAAGCTTTGAGAGGAATAGAAAGGAAAATGATTGAAATTGAAACCTCTTTAGAGATTTTATTGCTTTTTTATTTATTTATTTGCTTAATTAAATGCCCCTGAAGTGTGTGAAACATGGTTATAGTTAAAAAGCACTGTTACTTTGTAAATCGTAGGGACAAAGGGCTCTCCTGACTTTAAAGTTTCCATGCACGTAAATGTCAATAGAGTGCCTTCTCCATCATCAGCACTAAATTCACATTGATGCCTCTTTTCTTCTCTGTATTGATCCTTCCATGAGAACGTAGATTTGTATCTGTTAATTAATGCGTCCTGAAACAGCGTTTGTATTAATCAGGCAGATAAGAAAAATTGGATGCCTGCACCCTCATGACAACCGTAAAAGTGCTGGCCCTGATAAAAATCATGGACGGACCTCAATAAAAAAGTTCCTCCTTCCACTCAATAAACTAATCATCCCTGCTTTTAATTATTCGGCAGAAAGATGTGTGGAGATTGGAGAATGTGTAAATCTATTTACTAACAGCAGTGTCTGGGAGGGAGAATGGGCCTGTCACACAGGACACTGCTGCAGGCAACGTTCTCTGTCCATCTGCTTCTTGAGAGAGAGAGGCTGGAGCTAATTGCAAATAGGCCTTCCATTTTAAGACCCTTTCAAATTATTATTTCTGTTTCATTTCCTTCCATTTTCCATAAGAAGCGTGGGGCTAGCCCCTTGTCATTTTTCAAAGAGGTTGGCTTTGATGTGGTTGATCTTCTTTTGGGGACATGACACGCGTCCTCTTATAAATAAAGAACAAAAGACAGTATGGAAAATGTAAATAAGAATTAAGAAATAATGAAAAGGAATGAAGGCGGTGTCTTGATAAAGTCCATCACTTTTAAAGCATGTCTCCTGGCCTAGAGAGACTTTTGATTTCTTTTAATCGGAATGCATTTGGTTCCAAGTTTTGCAGCAGGCTGGATCTAAATTGATGTCTAATTCTTGTGCCTCGTGTTTTCACCATGGTGTTTTGGCAAAATTTTGTGTGTTTTAAGATAAATGAGCAGCAACAACCAAGGCCTGTTCTTTCTGTAGGATCTCTGTCAATGCACATGTGAGCAGCTCCATAAATCGCACACAGAGAGCTTTAGACATGTCTTAAGTCCCACCCCACCCCTTAAGAAAAGCTTGACTAATCCCCTTTGATGATTTTATTAACTCCTGGGTGGTTGCAGGTGCCAACTGGCAAAGTACGATATTTCATGGATAGGCCAGGAAATCTCTCCTTCACTGGGACCTCCTGTGATAGGAGCTTTGTCAGGCAGAGATAATAAATTAACAGCTACCGTAAATAGGTGCCTGAAAAGGTATGGCTATAAAGAGGTTTGCCCTTAGTGATCCTATTAAAAAGGAAAGGAGAGATAGTGAAACAAAAGCAAAACCTAAATTCATTAAGAAGTGTTATTATATATTTTTCTCTCTCTCTTTCTCTCTCTCTCGCAAAGTGATGGTGTGATTACTATTCACTTGGCACTTTAATGTGCCATTCTGCTATTTGAGTAGTGTGGTGGAGGCAGAAGCTATTATAGAAGTAATTAGCGTCTTTTCTGGAAAGGGTAGGTCTTACTGAGGTTGAAGTTCAAAAAGCACTTTGCTTGGTTGTTGTGATCATCACTTAATTCTATTAAGGTATCAAATTACCTCTCCTTTAAAATGATTTTTCCCATTTTTGTTTAAAAACACACTGCCTTCAAAGGAGACCTTGAAATCTTTAAAATATGGTATGAAGGCTATGCAGAAGTAACTGAATTCAGTGAAGCTTACTTTGTGGTAAGTAACAGTGTAGATAAGATTACAGGCGCTGTCATATCTTTTATTCTTTCTCTTACAACTATTACAATTATTGTTTCCAGATTTGATATAGGCCGTATTAGATGCTACTGAATCTGGGTAACAAGTCTCGACAATTTATTTGAGGAAATGCATTCTTAAATACTGAATAAAATACAACAGGCTTCTCTACCTAAAATTACAATAAACCCAAGATATACTGAATTGTTTTTATCTGAAGTGCTTTTCTTTTAACTATTTTATGTCTGCTGATACAAAAGATTTGAGAGGGCAGACTCTGTAAATACACATTGCTGACTTACATAATAAAGACGAGCACAAGGGTAAAGTTATAATGCAGAATTATGAGGGCCCAGTACAATTTTAATTATGTTTCTGTGTACTTTCCTTCCCGGTTTAGGATTTTCCACTTTATCGCTTGCTGACCAGATGAGCCTTCTACAGAGTGCTTGGATGGAGATTTTAATTCTGGGCGTAGTGTACCGATCACTTTCCTTTGAGGATGAGCTTGTCTATGCTGAAGACTATATTATGGATGAAGACCAGTCTAAATTAGCAGGCCTTCTTGATCTCAACAATGCCATCCTGCAACTGGTAAAAAAATACAAGAGCATGAAGCTGGAGAAAGAAGAGTTTGTCACCCTCAAAGCTATCGCGCTTGCTAATTCAGGTTGGCAGATTGGCATGATGGCTCATGTCATTTTCCCCCTTCCTCTAATACCTTCTGCATGACAGTTTCTAAATACAACTGTCTAAAAATAAGAAATTCTTAATCATACTACTGCAGAATAGTACTGAATGGCTAGAAACAAGGTAGTTCAAATTAAGGGAAGTTCTGTGATTATAAATATTTGTTTATGCTGAGTTTCCAATTTGGTTAAAAGATGCCGTAAAATTCAGGCAGTATTAACAGCAAAGATGCTTTTCAATAAACATAAATGTCATTCTGTTTAATCCATTTCATAATCCAGATAAGTCTAATCAGTCTTCTAAAACCCACTAGAATGGAAGGGCCCATGACTAAATGCAATATATGATCTACTTCAATCTAGCTACTAAACACTGTGAACTCAATACCGAAGGTGAACTTTGGTTTTATTAGAGAAGGGAGCAAGTCATGTTTTAACCTTGTAGAAACTGTACAAATTTGCCTGTTTTATGCTAGTTGGTTAAATGCTTAATGTAACTTGTGCAGAAGGGGGCTAAGAATTGAAGAAAAGGTTCTTTTCTGCATTTGAACTTAAAAGTGCTGAAGCAGTGAGCCAGTGTTTGATAAGTGAAAAATCGTTTGTTCTTTGTTGTTTTTTCCTTTGTGCCTCTCTAACACTTTATTGTGGTCTTAAGTCCTTCTTAGCATTTGCATAAAGTTCATGATAGATCCCTCTTTAATGACGTGCCGATCATTAGATACCTGTGTGTCGATAACATGCTCTGATGCTATGTACCATTGACAGTCACACCGTGCCCCTCCATCTGCTTTTGTTTTGACCCTATCTTTGAACTTTATCTTGGTTGCTGGCCAGTAGTTTTCCCTTTAATTACAAGAAGGAAACTGTCAATAAAATCTGTTAAATGGGATGCAATGAGTGGCTTGAATGGGCGGATGGCTATTTGTTCAAATTCTGCAGCTTTCAAGGTATTGACAGTTTGTTTTCTGGGGCCATATGTGACGATCAATCTCAGGCTGGGCTCAGCCGCGCTGAAAAATGAAAAACCAGATTGCTTTTGCTTACTTGTGGATGACGACTTGTGATTTGGTGCGGTCCTAGTGAGATGAGGCCTTCTGCCCAAATTGTCCCCACGAGAGCCAGGATGCGTGACTGTTTTTAGAAATAATTTTTTAATTGATTTTGTAATTAACAGTTCATCTACAATATTGACACATGAATCTTCAGATTGATAGGAGGAAAATTGTTTTCAACAATGAAGTTGTACTTTCTGATTTGTCTTCATAATGGGATCTAGCATTTTGCATTTTAATTAGAGTTTTAATTGAAAAACAAACAAAAATGAAGAATAAAAAATATCCATAAGAAATATAAATGACTTAATCAGTTGACGTAGGTGTAAGCAGCTGTTGTCATAATACACAATCTAGTGGTCACCTCAGATTCTCATTTTATTTGGATAAGCTTTCTCCAAATTAAAGTTATAAAACATTATGAGATGTTCATATAATTGTCATAATTTATTATGTTTACTGATAAAATATATAAGTCAGAAACCATGCACAGTTTGTATAAAAATACACATTTTAAAAACATTTTGAATGACAGCAAACCTTCGCACATTTGGAAATGGCTGAGACAGTATTTTACTCTGACCTGCAGAGATTTAAAATGACATTCACTGAAATCATCAGCTTAGCATAAACATCTGGCTTGATTCAATAATAATTAATGCTCTTTTGTGCTCTAAATCAGTGAACTGATTTAACAGTAACCTTCCTGCCTCCCCTTCTTCTGTATTGTACCCATGCGTAAACAGATAAAACAAGATAAAGTGAGAAAAATATCGCCAGTATTATAGCCCCAATTTATTGGAACTTGAAATAAAAAGACTTAAAAGAGAACTAAGGGATGTCTGAAAAACCAAAATGTAGCTCTGATTCAGAATATAAAGAGATCCAGATGTTATTCTAATGGTTTCACTTATCCTGAAACCAATTTTTCAATTCTTGAATTGAGAGGAAACCTAGAGTATCCAAGAATCTAGTTGCACTGAACAGAATATTGGAAGTCCCGGATTCAGGCAAAAAAACAAAATCTTGCTGCTTTTTCATGTGTCCTCCAAAAATAGGAATTCCTATTACGTTTCTGAGGCTCAGAAATAAACATTTTACCTCATACCATCTCCAATTAATCTTATTTTGATAAAAGGGAAGATATTAGCAAAAACCATCACCTGATACTCTTAATATATCATTGGTAATAATCATAATTGATGGTTTTGTACAACCTAAAACAACTTGGTGTGTTCTTTGGTTCATATGTCGGGTTTCTAATTAGGTACTTAAAATGCTAAATGGAAAAAGAAGTTCCAATGCATCTGTGAGTGCTCTGGTTGCTCACAGAAAGATGGGGGGAGGGGGGAACCCACTTCTGAATATTTTCTAAAGCATGTATGTAGCAATTACTTCAGGCAGGTGAACTCTGCTGTGTAATAAAAGGTGTTCTCTCTGTCGCAGTGCTTTTACTAAGTGTTCCCATGTATTGATTGGGAAATGCCAAATGGAAGACTTTAGGTTCACAGGTTTGTTTGCTTTTAATTATTTCATCAAGAAACAGACATTTGTACTTTTAGGCTAGAGGCTTTTTAAAAGACTTTGTGTTCCAATCAGCTGAACTGCCACGCAATTTCTGACTCTTTCTGCTCACCTAATCTATAGTATCTTTCCCTACTGACTGGACCCTTTAAAATGCTGCTCCTTATTGGAACACTAAAAAGGAGAAGCTTAGGGTTTTTATGAAAGCAACATCTTGAAAAGCTATAGATTTACCTATGGAAAAATAATCTAAAGACTCAATATTTGGAGAAGAAGGGATATGGAGATGGGGTGAGCAGTTATACTACAAGCAAACATTGAAAAGGCTAACTAGTGGCACTGGATTAAGAAAATCTAAGCCAGAGATGCCCAACCTTTCCGTCTTGGCAGGCCTGCGGGGAAGAGGGGGAGAGGATAGTTTTATGCCAGTGGCAAGCATGCATGCCTGCCACTCACAAATGGAGGTTCATGAGCATGCTTCCATAGCCCTATTCCAAACTGGCCACAGCACAGTACGGGGCCGTGGACTGGAGATTGGGGACCCTTGATCTAAGCAAGCTACCTCTCTCTAGATTTAGGTTGTTTAGATTCAGGCTCTGGGAAAGTGCTTTTTTTCCCCCTTGTGTTACTACAAGCATACACATCCTGGAGACTTTTTAACAATCAGTTGCATTAGTTTTACCCATCTACAAGAAGTAGCAGATTTTGTTTATGACTCTTATGTGAGTAAACTATTCAATGACCACTTTAGAGCATTCCTTATATGTAGCAGACACTTCTTTCTTTAGCCACTTTGTTGAAACTCCACTTCCTTCAGCCGTTTGAGGCAAAGTTCAAAGGATAATTTTGATGGACCATTGTGAGGTCTATTAACAATACTGGCCAATATAATAGAGTGCATACTGCTCTTGTAAATCCATCATTGCTTCTCTTTAGTTGGGGACAGACCAATGCTGAACTGCAGCTATAACAACCCTAACATTTCCTAATCGCCCAGCTCATGTCTAAACTTCATGTCTTGGATCTTTGACTTATGATGATTACTCACAGTCTGCTACTGTTGCTTAATTTCTTTGCCCTGTGTTTATTTGCAGTATTTACACCGTCTCCAGTTTCTGCCTTTGCTTTTTAGTTTTTATATTTAACTACTACTGTGACTGCGATGTAACCACGATCTTTTGCTTGTCCTTGCTTCTGTGTTTGCTTGTATGATGTCATTAGAATAGAACAGGATAGATAATTCCAACCTGAAAAGGCAGCCTGTCATTTATACTGAACTTTCTGTGATCCTTGAGATGCAGCCTGTTCACACATCTGTACATATACACTATTTTCTAATGCAAATAATTGTTTGGGTAATCAGTTGTGATTTAATCTCAAATGCCTCTGAAAGCAACTCTTAATCCCAACTTAATCTGAGATTAAGAAATCTTGGATCTGGCTCTATTGAACAATTTATATCTGAATTTTAGTCTTCCTATTTGAAAAGATTTTAGGCAGTGGGAATACCAATTACATAGAAGCTTGAACTGGGCAAAGTATTGCAACAAATTTTAATCAGATTACTTATTATAGAGTATAGATAGAAATAGTATGGGTTTCTATAGTGGACAACTTTTTGGCGGGCGGGGGGAGCTGGTTGTGGAAAATACATCCCTCCAAATCCTATTAGAGCTCTCAGTAATGTCAACCATGGCAACCTTCAGGACTACCTCTGGGATGGAAGGTTCCTTTTTTTTTTCTTTTGAACAGGTGATTTTATTTGGTAATCATAGAGGAAAAACATTCAGGTCCTTGGCATCTATGTGGTGTCACAGAACACAATCTCTCCCCACCCACCCTTCCATGTCCTTTAGCATCTAAACCATCGGGAGAGATCATGAAGCCACACACACACATCATCCAACATCATGGATCATATCATGAAAAGTTACCATGCCCAGTTGTACCTGTAAATGTACTAAAGATGCTGTAGTTACTCTTACCCGGTGTTTGGAGATTATATGAGATTGGATGCCAAATATATAGGGGTTTTTTTGGGGGGTGGTGGAAAAAAATGGATTGTTAACACCATTATTAGCTCTAATGAGGTTAAACTTTCCATGAAGGAACAGGCCCACCGTCTGGGGTTTCGCCAGGATGCGTGGCTTCTCCTGGTATTATAGGAGCCTTTGCCCTATTTGTAGCCATTTCTGGTGCAAAGGGCCATGGCAGTAATTTATGTCCTTATTAGCTCCATATTGGGTTATTGCAATGTATTCTACTTGCGGCTGCATTTAAAGATGACTCAAAAACTCCAGTTACTGCAGAATGTGTCAGCTTGCTTACTTCCTGATACAGGACAGCCATTTTAGAAGGATTTACAACAGTGCTTCAGTATTTGCGCTACTTATTCATTTCTGGGCCCAATTCAAAGTGGTGGTAATAAAGTGGACTGATAAAGCTGTAAAACGGCTTAAGTCCTGGACATGTTGCTGATTCTCTTCTCCATAGAATCTTCATTTCTATACATAAAATTCAGGAAGATATTTTTTGGATTCTCATCCCACGGAATGGCTTAAAGCTTAAATATTTTGGACACCTCTAGTGGTGTATATGGCAGATATCCCATCTATGTGAAATGTGACAAGGAGTTTCATGAAACCCTTAAGTTTCTGAGGCACTCTAAAGACTGAAGTGGGCTGTATGATGATGCCAAATAGATGGGTCCTGCAAATAGACAGTTTACTTTAACCACCACACCACAGCAGCTATTTTTGAACTATTCTTATCATAACACACAGCCAATAAAATAAGCTACTTGGAAAAAATGCCTTATCGCATTTGAAGTCTCTTATAAAATCAGATGATCCCAGCATTATATTTTTCAAAGTAGCCAGTTGTTGTTTCACTGTCTCAGTCGTATCCAAAAACTGATATTCAGTAACAACTTGATATACTGTAAAGATTCAGTATGGTTATCATGATTTAGTCACTGAATCATTTTTAATCCCATTATCACATCTAGCAGCAAATTCCATGAATTAATTACTTATTGCATGAAGTTCTTAGAGATTCATAGAATTAGAAGTGGGATGTTATTCAGGCTATCAAATTCATCTGCAAATTCAATAAACTTTCATCCTACCTTTTCCACCTCCAGGTCAAACGTATTTATTAATTATCCACATTAGGTGAAAATTGATATGTGACAATCTGAAATCCTACTGTGTCAGTTTTTCCTACACACTTAAGTCTTTTTATTTAATCTCAATGGCCATCATTTTACCCTTAGGTTGAAAGTTAATTGCTATTTTGCTGCCTGTTCACCAAGTTTAGATATTACTTTGTGTAAGCTTTTCTGATTTCTAATCCATCCTGAGTATTTTGGTGCCATCAGCAAACTTAGCTACTTCACCATTGACCTCCTAACTCAAGATCATTTATGAAGAAGTTAAATAGCATTCTCTCTGTTGTAAGAAATAGTGATTTATTCCCTGCTTCCCAGGAGTTTCTAATATATAACAAGGCTTATCCTAATTGTAGTCTTTTACTGTTATGGATGAGAACTTTTAACATTAAATTGTTAAATATCTTTTTAAATTTTAAAAGTAATGGTTACAGATTAATTATTAAATGTACAGAATCCCCATAAGACACTATTATGTGTAACAATTTAATTTTTAATTCCTTAATTCTGTTAGAAACCTCTAATGAAGTAATTTTGATCATATAATTTTTAATAGAACCTCCAATATGACCACAAGGGATACGGGTTTTAGATCAAAGTTCCATAGATACTTTTAAGATCACTTGTTTGCAGCTTTCCTATGCCCTAAGTGTTAGAGGATAGAACATAGAATAATCGAGTTGGAAAGGACCTTGGAGGTCTTCTAGTCCAACCCCCTGCTTGAGCAGGAGATCCTATACCATTTCAGGAGATCCTATACCATTTCAGACAAATGGTTGTCCAGTCTCTTTTCAAAAGCCTTCAGTGATGGAGCACCCACAACTTCTGAAGGCAAGCTTTCAAATAAAATTCCCAAGACAATAGACTCTCTAGGCATGATGGATTGCAACTCCTAGAATTCCCAGCCAACATGGGAACTGCAGTTACAATTTCTTGGAAATATACTTGTGGAAAACCATTTTACTGTTCTGAGCTTTCTGCATTTCCATGAGATACTTTTTTAAAACTATCCTTGCCGATTTCAAAGTTATATCTTAAGTTATATAAACAAGATATATTAAAAGGCAGTAATCATATGATTGTAACTACACTAAAGATCTTCTTTTTCAGAAGATGAATATGGTAATATGTAGTTTATTTAATTTGCATATGTAAAGGAGCTCAGCAAATGGTAGTTAAATCCATGTAAATTACAGCTTTTTGAAAGTGGGGTTATATAATTCAAGTAATAGAAAAGAGCTCTAGCACTGTAATCCTCCTTTCTGGCATGATAAACTGCTATAACTCTTGTTTGTTTTATAGATTCTATGCACATAGAAGATGTTGAAGCTGTCCAGAAACTTCAAGATGTCTTACATGAGGCGCTGCAGGATTATGAAGCTGGGCAGCACATGGAAGATCCACGCCGGGCTGGGAAGATGCTGATGACTTTGCCGTTACTTAGGCAAACCTCCACCAAGGCTGTGCAGCATTTCTACAATATTAAATTGGAAGGCAAAGTCCCCATGCACAAACTATTTTTGGAAATGCTGGAGGCAAAGGTCTGACCTCAACATCCTGGGCCCTTTCAGTTGGGTATGCTGAAACCGTAACAAGAGGGACATCCGAATGGGAAAACTGTGGCAAAGAACCTTTAGCGTTACTTTAAGGCAATGAAACTGACTGCACTGATCATTAAGCAGCAAGAATGAGTAGCAGCATCTCTTTTTAGTCTTGGTCTTATTTGATGAGGTTCTCCTTCTTCATTTCTCTCTTCTTTTAATGTTATTAGTTCTCATTTGTTTGTAATTTTCCCCCTTTTGCTGCTGAAAAATTCATATATATATGAATATATATAAATATATATACACACATTTATATAAATATATACACACACACACACACACATATATATATATACATTATATATATACATTTTATATATGTATGTATATATGTATATGTGTATATATATGTATGTATGTATGTATGTATGTATATGTATATATATATATGGTGTATATAATGCCAGTGGACTTCTTGGGAATCATCATACCCCAATGACAGAGGAATCAAAATCGAAGCATCGTAACTAACAGTACAGTACAACACGGTGAACTGACTGAATGCAGTATTATGTTTCACAAGAGCAGCCGTTAATTAGACAACTTCTACGGCAACATCTTGGCTCTTCCTTATCATTGCATTTCCATCTAGATCAGTTACAGCCATTTGATTCCTTCCTTGTTTTTTCAAGTCTTCCAGCTATTTCTTAGGTTAGCTACAATATAACTTTTTCAGGGAATAGTTTGAGCTTTATTCATTCATGCAATACTAAAGAAAAGAAAGATAAATACTGCTTTTTTTGTGTGCTGGCGTGAACAATTATGAACATTTAACTAAGGACAAATGAATCCTGCAGGAATATTTCTTTTTTTTAAAAAAAAAATGTTTTAGTTCTTACTACTAATGGAAGATTTTTTTTTCTACCAGCTTTACCACGTTTCAGCCATTTCTTAATGTGGGGATTTATCTTACTCAAGCAATAGTTGAAGGGAAGGTGCATATTATCACGGATGCAATTTATGTTGTGTGCCAGTTTGGTCTAGGACATCCCATTTCTTTGCATGAACTCCAGTTTCTATGTAACCAACTGAAACCAACAAATCAGATTACACCTACATTTCCAAATAGTTTATATATGTCATGTCAAATAGGAATCTAAAAAAGGAGTTAGTAAGTGCTTCTGTATGGCCAAGCATAATTATGCCATGAGATTCTATGTTACTCTATAAGGTGGCCTATCATTTACAAAACTGGGACTTCTGCATAAAGTCCACCCTACTCCACCCTACTAGCAATAAGGAAAAAAATATATATATCAGAGTAGTCAGCCTCTGATCAACCTCTAGAACTTAGCACTTGTACACATTATTTATCAATTTATAAAACTTTATATTTTATATAACTGTAGAAATGCCATTTTTAAACAGACAGCCTAACTGGTATACCTACTTTTTCAGCCATTATTGTCAGGACATGAAAGCTGGTCAATTTCAAGACTGTTAAGAGGTGTAATCTAATATTTAAATTAATTAGATGGCCCCCCACCCAGCCACCCAAAGTACAGTCACTAAAAAACCTGGGAACAGGAATCTCCTTCCAATGCTATGCCAATGCACCAGTGTTAGTAGCTGCTCCCTGTGCTTTGTGAACAACCTATTCTATGTACACAAATGTAATTAAATTGTATTCCTAACCAACAAAAGAAAAGTAGTTCAGCTTCTCAATGTTTCATGTTTGCTGTGCTTTTTGGAACTTTTTAGGTTGCATTCAAGGACTGTTGTCTTGTTCTTGTGGTGTTTGGATTCTTGTGGCGTGTGCTTATAGACACAGGGTAGAATTAGAGACAATATTGGATGTAAATTTCCTCAGGAGACTACAGTAGTATATTCTATTCCTTCTGGTAATTAAGGTTCTTCATAGTAATAATTAAGAAACTGAAAAACAAAATCCAACCAAGTACTCATTACGGACAAATGTCACATTGAAATATTTTCGAAACAAGGGATAATTTCTGTAACAGTTTAATATAGAATATGTATAGCTTAGAAATAAACTTTGAATATTGCAAAATTATAGGTAAGTCTAATTTTTAAATGCTGTAAATATAGCTTTCATCTCTCCCATGTTATTAACTTGCTCTGTGTTGTTGCCGAGTCTTTTTTTTTTTTTATGCAGACACGTTTCCAAAAGTATCGCTACTTGTGTACTTTAAACAAAATACTGCAGTTAACACTGCAGCAACCTTGTGCTAGAAAAACTGTGTATCTTTCATTAGCTGTATGGGAATTTTCTTGTAGATTGTGTTTTTCTCAGTAGAGAAGTAACTGTTATGTGGTCCTAGATAAATTGTCATTAGCAGTTCATTCAGTTGGCCAAATATCTTGAAATTCACAGTATGATAGGAGTTTGGAAATTGGACGTCCCTTTTGAAAAATGGTAAAACTTTACAACTCCTGGGTGTGGGTGTGGGGGGGGCAAGAAACAACATGATTCTATAAAATTATTTATATATATATGTAAGAGTTGAGAATAATTATTTTCCAGAAAATTTGTGCAGGGTTTAAGTTGCAAGTGTTACCTACATTATATATGTATATATAAATATCTAATATAAATATTGTTTTCACTGGATCACATTGAGGAACTTGGGTTGCAGGGTTAATATCCCGTCATCGTATTCAGAAAGAAGGACAAATCTACAAAGACTTAAGAGGAAATGAGATGTGTTAAAGGAACACAGTGTAATTTTTTTATTTGATCTTTTTTTTCCAATAATTTTTAGAGCTGCAATGAACAAATATGTCGTGGCTGTACAAATGTTAACTGAAACATAGATACACTGCACAGGCATTAGAATAACATTCTTCTTAAACCTTGCTGAAATAAACGTCCACAACCACTTTAAATAAGTGAAGAACTGGGGAAGAATTTCAAGAGGTGTATGTTTTAGCGTAACATGTTTCATTTCAGGGCCTAAGATCCATAGAGCATTTCTCCTGCACAAGCAATTGAAATGAATGGGTGCGGTGGCATGGAGCCCCTCTCATCCAGTTTGTCCATTCGATTCAATGTGCAGCAGACATTCCAGATGGATTGTAGCCTGGGCTACTGTTTTCTTTTTTCTTTCTCTCTTATTTAAAGCAATATGATTGTGTGACTCCTGGAAGTTGCACATTTGTTTCAATCAAATCAGATTGTTGTATTTATTCCACTATTTTGCATTTAAATGCTAGCATAAAAAATATTAAAAAAAAATTAAAACTGCTATTTTTCTTATAGAAGAGAAAATGGGTGTTGGTAATTGTATTTTAATTATTTAAACGTCTCTGTTTACCTGCCTAGGAAAACACTTTATGGCAGTCTTATTGTGCAAAGATCTCAAAAAGAAGGGGGAAACCGAATTAAGCTGCTTATTATAATCCAGGAGTTGCATAATAACCAGTAGTAAAAACACAAATGAAAAAAAAAATCATGTTTAAAGCTGTAGATGGGCTTCACATCTGTAAAGCAATCAACTGTATATTTTTGTGATGTGTATCATAATGTGTGCTCCAAACAATGTCCATTTGTGTAAATGTATTTATTTTATATTGTATATATTGTTAAATGCAAAAAAAAAGGAGATAATGGTTCTGTAACTCCAATCAGTTCAGATGTGTAACTCAAATTATTATGCCTTTCAGGATGATGGTAGAGCAATATTAAACAAGCTTCCACTTTTAATTGCTTTTAATTTTTTGTGTTGTGGATTTTGTTTTCTTTTGTTCGTTTACTTTTTTTTATATGAAGAAATGAAATCAGTAAGCCCCATCTTTAGAAAAGTGGTAAACTGTACACCCCTAAGTTAATGTGGCCCTATGCTGTATAAAGACTTGTCAAAATGAATTTTGATGTGGTATAGTCATTTTGCATAAACTTAAATATTCAAACTGGCACAAAATTCATTCTGACAAGCACTTGCTTAATCTTAAAACATCTCCACATTAAGCAACATTACTGAAAATCAATATCTTTCTATCAATATCGTAGAAGTTAAACTTTTCACAATTTTAAGATTCTATTACCATCTACAATTTCATCAACAGCTGAATTCATTCCATTCATAAAGGTATTGTAAGACTGCTTAGAGTTTGAAGATAGCTAATATAGGCGACTATTAATTATAATCACTAGCACTTCTCCAGGATCAGAAAAAGAGTTTAAAATTAAAGGCATCGGGATAGAAAATGGTGTACTTGATCAGAAAGGTTGCAATTTTTGCAACAGAGTCATCATCTGCTTCTGAAAGGTTCTGGAATCATACAATTTTGGAGGCTTGAGCCCTGTTCTGCTAATATGGCGCTACTGCCTTTATTCAACACCTTTCTCATTTTCAGTGACATGCATTTTTTAGAGGCTTAGTATGTTCCTAAGGACAATCATCTCTCCCTGTGTCCTCACTCTGTCACACTACTGATAATTGTTACCAATCATAAATTAGCTCATGATATTGGTATATTCATTTAAATTGTATATTATATATAATTCTCCCTTATATAATAAAGCAGGAAAGTTGCTGTTGTGTTTCATCTTTGGCAGTAGTTGGACCTATGTGGATATAATATTTTATTAAGTTTAGCATAATTAACTGGCAAATAGAAAATTACATCTTTCATGTAACTGTACTAATAAGCTACTACAGCCCTCTATTCATATTCAATTCTGCATTTGTCTTCAAGACAAAACAATTATTATGTATGCAGTATACAATAATTGTGAAACAAGACTGAGTTAAATTAACAATATATAAATCAAAGAGATGGCATAATAAAATCCATGTAGTTTTTTGTTTTGAAATAAATTTTATCTAGATAAATAATGTCACTTTTAATTTCAAGGTGCTGCTAAATTAAATGGAACAGCATACATTCACAGTTGCTGGCGCTTTTCCAATTTTAATGAGCACTTCTATATAATATTTTTTTCAAGGTTGACAATATTAAACCACTTTCATGAAATCTTGTACTTCCTTTAATATTCCTCTATCTTAATAAATAATTGTTGAGCCAAGAAGGTATTTTAATATATTTCTATCTTGCTTTTTTTGGTGAATCATGCCCAAAATTACAGAACAGAATTTTAAAATTCACAACAAAAATATTGAATAGAAACATGAATGTAAAGAGTGAGATTAAAGAAGAAACACAGAAAATAGCCAATTCTACCCACCAATGCCTAAAACCTACCCTTGGTTTAAATAGAAAAGTTCTACACAACAGCAGAACACTACCAATAATGGCTCTATAGGGAGAAAAACATATAAATTACATGTCAGTATATTTCATAAAGTTGAA